TGCTAGTGAGTCTGCTGCTCCAGGTGCTGGTGAGTCTGCTCTCTCTGGTACTGCGCCTGCTAAGGCCTTGCACACCTTCACACTTGACTCAGGTGCTTCCCGCTCCTTCTTTCGCGACAGCACCACACTCACGCCGCTCAGTCGGCCGGTTGCAGTCTCCCTAGCAGACCCCTCTGGGGGCCCAGTCCTTGCGCACTCCTCCACGGTCCTGCCGTGTCCGGCGGTCCCGTCTGGCTCACTGTCGGGTCTTCACCTCCCCTCGTTCTCTACGAACTTGGTGAGTGGAGCTGACCTCCAGGATGCGTGGGTTGACCAGTTCACTCCTAGAGGTCAGCGTGTGACCCACTGTACGTGCTCCCGGACGGGCCGGCACCTAGCCACGTTTACCCGTGCGCCTGGCTCGAGTCTGTACACACTGACTACTATGCCCCCTCAGGTAGCTGCGTCGGCGTCTGCGTCAGGTCAGCTAGCGGCCCTCTGCTCGTGTCGCGCTTTGTCGCACAAGACCGTCCTTTGGCACCACCATCTTGGTCACCCCTCGGTGCAGCGCCTTCGTGGCATGCACCGCCGTGTCCTTGTCTCTGGTCTTCCCAGGGTTTTCCCTCCCCTCCCAGCCTCGCATGCTCCTCCCTGTCTTCCCTGTGTCGAGGGGCGGCAGCGCGCCGCTCCTCACTCCTCCTCGTTTCCCCCGACGACTGCTCCCCTGCAGACCCTCCAGATGGACGTGTGGGGCCCAGCCCGCGTTCGTGGACAGGACCGCGAGCGGTACTTTTTGCTGGTCGTTGACGACTACACGCGTTACACTACGGTCTTCCCCTTGCGCACCAAGGGTGAGGACCCTCATGTTTTGATCCCTTGGATCCGCGCTGCCCGTCTCCAGCTCCGCGAGCGGCTCGGGACGGACTTTCCTGTCATGCGTCTGCACTCTGAGAGAGGTGGTGAGTTTGCATATGACTTTCTGCGGGACTTTTGTCGTGGGAAGGGCATTCGCCAGACGTTCACTCTCCCGGCCTCACCGCAGCAGAATGGGATTGCTGAGTGCCGCATTGGCTTAGTCATCGAGGTCGCTCGTACCTCCATGGTCCATGCGGCTGCAACCCATTTTCTGTGGCCATTTCTGGTCCGTTACGCTGCGCATCAGCTCAACCTCTAGCCCCGTGTCTCCTTGCCGGAGACCTCGCCCACACTGCGTTGGACGGGGAAGGTTGGCGATGCGTCAGTGTTTCGGGTCTAAGGTTCTCGTGCCTTTGTCCGCGATACTACTGCGGACAAGCTCTCCGCCTGTGCTATTCCCTGTGTCTTCCTTGACTTTGTCCCTGACGCGCCTGGCTGGTAGTTTTACCACCCCACCTCGCGCCGTGTCCTGCCCTCTCAGGATGTCACGTTCGACGAGTTTGTTCCCTTTTACCGTCTCTTCCCCTACAGCACTGCCTCTCTCCCCCCCCCCCCCCCGCCGCTCTTCCTTGCCCCAGGTCCTCCTATGGTAGACCCCCTCCCCCCTCAGGGTCCTGCTCCCTCAGGTGTGTCCCAAGTAGACGCTATCGAGCCTGTCGAGGTAGCGGTTGACTCTGATGCTGCTACTGGGGGTGGTGCTGCTGGGGGTGCTGAGCCTGAGCGTGCGGAGCCTGGGGGTCCTGAGCCAGGGGTTGCTCAGTCTGAGGGTGCGGAGCCTGGGGGTGCTGAGCCTGAGCGTGCGAAGCCTGGGGGTGCTGAGCCTGAGCGTGTGGAGTCTGGGGGTGCTGAGCCTGAGGTTGCTGAGTCTGAGGGTGTGGAGCCTTGGGGTGCTGAGCCTGGGGGTGCTGAGCCTGGAGGTGCTGAGTCTGAGGGTGCTGAGCCTGCGGTTGCTGAGACTGGGGGTGTTGAGTCTGCTGGAGTTCCTGCAGGTGCCTCATCTCGGCGGGAGCCTCTCTCTCCACCGCAGCTGCGCGAGTGGTTTTCTCGCCGCTGGAGACTCCAGTGAGGTGGTGCTAGAGCTGGAGCTGTTGGAGGTACTACTGGTGCTGGAGGTGCTGGAGCTGGAGGTGCTGCCGGAGCTAGAGCTGCTGGAGGTACTGCTGATGCTGGTGCTGCTGGAGGTGCTGGAGCCGCTGATCCTGGAGGTGCTCGTACTGGAGGTACTGGAGCTGCTGGGGCTGGTGGTGCTGCCGGAGTTGGAGCTGGAGGCGCTAGTGTTGGTGCTGCTGGAGCTGCTGGAGGTGCTGGAGCTGGTGGTGCTGCGGGAGTTAGAGCTGGAGAGCCTGGAGCAGGAGGTACTGGTGCTGTCTCTGCTGGTTCTGGAGGCGCTGCGCGGCCGCGGCCGTACTTCGTTCCACTTCTTCAGCAGGTTCTTGGCCTCCCGCCTTCTACTGGTCCCACTCTTCCCTTACTGTGTCCACAGCCTGCCCCGTCGCAGTCGCAGCTACAGCCAGCCTCTCCACAGCCTGGTCCTTCTCCTTACTTTGGACCGACTAGAGGTCTTACGGAGCGTCGTGAGCCTGAGTCTCGTCCTGCGTCGCCTGAGTCTCGTCCTACTGTACCAGACATGCACCAGATGGCACTTCGTCCTTCCACTGCTCCACTGCGTGACCCTCTGCCATCTCCTCCTGCGTCCTCTCTTGCTGACGGTCCGGATCCGCAGTCTGACTCCCTTCGTGCTGCTAGTCCTACTGTCACGCGTCTACTGGCCACGATTGTCACTGACCCGTCGTTTGAGTCCACTGCTGCGTCTGCCCTAGTTGCTGAGCTTGTTGACTTTGCTGCCGCCAGTCGTCTAGGCTACGCCGCTAGTCTTGTTGCTGAGTCTGAGTCTGTCTGTCCTCCATCCGTCGGGGGTGAGTGTGCTCTTGGCACGGACGTCCTTGAGGATAGACAGGAGGAGTTTGAGTGCTTTGCCGCTGCTTCACCTCATCTCGTGTCCATGCTGCTTGCCCCTGAGGGAGACCCGGTTGCACCAGACATCCCGACCCCGCACTCTTACGCAGAGGCGATAGAGGGTCCCTACTCCTCTCACTGGCAGACAGCCATGGACACAGAGATGGCTTCCTGGAAGTCCACAGGCACCTACGTCGACGAGGTTCCCCCGCCTGGGACGAACATCGTCAGTGGCATGTGGATTTTCAGGGTGAAGCGGCCGCCGGGTTCTCCGCCTGTCTTCAAGGCGCGTTATGTTGCACGAGGCTTCAGTCAGCGAGAGGGAGTTGACTTCTTCCAGACCTTCTCCCCGACCCCGAAGATGACCACTCTTCGGGTTCTGCTGCATGTCGCCGCTCAGCGTGACTACGAGCTGCACTCTCTTGACTTCAGCACTGCTTTCTTACAGGGCAGCCTGCACGAGGAGATCTGGCTGCGCCGCCCACCTGGCTTGACTGGGTCGTTTCCTGCAGGTACCCACTGGAGCCTCCGGCGGCCAGTAGCCCCGTGAGTGGCACGACACACTGAGGACAACCCTTGCGGCTCTTGGCTTTGCTCCTTCCACTGCTGACCCGTCGCTGTTTCTACGCACCGACACCTTTCTGCCGCCGTTCTACGTCCTCGTGTACGTTGACGACTTTGTCTTTGCTACTTCTGACACTGAGGGAGTCGCCCACGTGAAGTCAGAGCTGCATAAGAGACACACGTGCACAGACCTGGGTGAGCTTCAGAGCTATCTTGGCTTGCGGATCACCCGGGACAGAGCACAGCGCACCATCACTTTGACTCAGTCACACATGGTGCAGCAGGTCCTTCAGCGCTTCAACTTCACATACTCCTCACCACAGCCCACTCCTCTGCCTACTCGCCACTCGCTCTCAGCTCTGCCTTCGGATGAGTCCGTAGAGCCAAGTGGCCCGTATCGAGAGCTTGTGGGCTGCCTCATGTACATGATGACCTGCACTCGACCTGACCTGGCATACCCTCTTAGCACCGGATAGTAGTTCATATGCGCTTATAATAAATTCATGTATTTCTTTTAATGGGGCGCTTGTAATTGAGTAACGGCCATAAACGCCGGCGATTATACAATGACAAATACATGATTACAATCTAAACGCACCAGAAAGTACATTTCAGTCTCGTAAGTTCAATTGAATATAATTTTTACAGTATTCTTGATCAGAATCGTGCGAGGGCGATTCTCTGACGGTGCACATAGCTTTGGCACGTCACTTCACAGGCGTGCCAGCTCATCCTGACTGGACGCGCAACCAGTGAGGCCCTCGAAAGTCAAACAAAGTGAAAATGGGTGTTGACTCGCTGCAAAATTGAAATTGTAAGGGTTTTACAGGGGGGGTGCTTATAATTGAGTTCTGACCATAGGCACCATGCTCCGGGTATGAGCGTCGGCGCCTTTAAAACCGGAGTCCCAAACAGCCCGAAACTGCCTCAACCTTTCTAACTTTGGTTGGGTGTGACCCAGTTGATACCGAGCTCTCCTCGCAAATTGTTGGGACGATTTTCGCCAAGCAAAATTAATGTTCAAGCGAGGACGATAGCGGTGACAACTTCGCAAACAGATTTGCAGCCCGTCCGAAACAGTCAGCGAACGAGTTATGACGTAGCATTCCAGATCTGGTTACACTCGCGACTTTTTCATACTTAGCGAACCGCTACCACCGATTTTGACACCACCCTGGCTCGCGAGACAGTCACCTTTCTCTCCCCTTTCAACCTTCCTAACTCAAAAACTCTTGGACCTCCGGTTTTAATAGGACGGCGCCTATATCTGGGGCCATATGGTACTTGGAACAGGCGAACTGCAAGGGTGTATTTGGACAGGAGCGATCCGACCAGCATGCCATACCTCTCGTTTGCTTATTTATACGACTTAGTTTATACCTAAATACGTCACAAGATCGAAGCCGCATTCCAGTCTGATGACGACGATCTAGCTTTCAGCACGACAATGAACGACATTTTCAGTGACCAACTTTTATAATAAGGCCCAGAATTCCCAACCAGCCCTCACCATCCATTGTAGCGGTCCCGGTGAAACCATCCGCAAGGTCTAGATACGTGTCAGACGCTCGAAGCGATTAACGGAAATGGCGGCACGATTCGGAGGTGGCATGCTCCTCGTAGCAGTCATGTGCGTGGCAGCGGAGTGCGTTCCCACAAGCTGCCGTTCGCAGCCTCCACCGCCGACGAAGGCGCAGCTGCGCGTGGAGCTGCAGAGCATGGCAAAGAGCATCGTGAAGTGGTACCCCCAGTACCCGCGATATGCGCAGGACGCCACCAAATACATCAACTTCGCACGTACGACCTTGCACCACTGACTACCACGTGGCCAACTACCCTGGATTACCGCTTTCAACCATTACTGTTTCTTCCTAATGAGATATCCCTTACTGCCCCCCTCGCCCTGCCCCTGCAGTGAACTCCAAGTACGACCTGTCCAGGCTGCAGTGATCTCCATTCACCGCCTTTCCTTCTCCCCTCTCCCCTCCCTTCCCCTGCATTGAATTCCAAGTACGACCTGTCTTCGCTACCCCACTGACCTGCTCTCCGCCCTTCTCCCCCACACTTCCCCCCCCTCCTCCTCCCCCACTGCCCCTGCAGTGAACTCCAAGTACGACCTGTCCGCGCTGCGAGACGCGTCCATCCTCATCCTCAACAACGTGCAGGCAGACGCCCTCGCTAAGAGAATCCCCGCTAAGAGCAGAAGCGTCCCCACACTGTACAACATAACGACGTTCCACATCCTGCGCCGCCGAATGACCCTCACGCAGACGAGGCAGGTGAACCTGCGGACGGCGATGGGCACGCAGCTAAGGCAGCCGCTCTTCAAGATGACGGCGATGGGAAACAACAGCGCTGTGTCGTTTGCTAGGGGCCCGTAGTTGAAGGCAGACCAGTTGAGCACAATTCGCATCCCGGGGCTGTATGTGGGGCACTGGTTCATTGCCCATGGGGTGGATTGGGTGATCATCCCCACTCACACCAAGATATGATGAGGTAGCAGAGGAGGGAAGCAGGAGTGTTATGTTTGGATTGGAAAGAGGAAGTAACAAGTTGAGGTGATTGAACAGCTTTAGATTCTGTAGTTTACAGTCTCCACAATAGCAACATGTTGTCACGCTTTAGCGGGACATGTCAATATGTTTCCACTCCTGTAGTTTCGTGGGGGTGGATGCACCATTGAGTTGCCTTCTTGAGGATTGAGCTGCTCTTGCTAGATTCATATGTGTTGTAGCGCGTGAATGATTCCCCGCAATGGTTGAACTTGTCGAGTGAGCATGTAGGTTTGAGAAGAAATCAAAGTTAATTCAAACATTTACTTGCTGATTCATTTTCTTGAGTTTGTGAAAACGATCATAATTTCTACAGAAGGCTTATAGTAGCTTGTGTGTACCGAGGATTTTGCGTGAGTTGGTTTAGTCTACACCCAAGCTCCGAACCAGCTCCGAGTCGCCACCGCTCCTTTCGCAAAATCCCGAGCCTAGTTACACTGCGGTTCTCGCCTAGCTCGGCTCTGCCTACTTGACCCTTGTTTCAGTCAACCAGTTCTGTAGTTTTCAAATTTGTAAGAACCCCGCACCCATAACAATTTGCGAACTAGCCTAAAATGCGTTACGACGCCTGTGGGTTAGGTTATGTAGGAGTGCATAGGACCTGCGCTCAGGATCAGGAAGTGAGAGCTGCGAGGGCAACAATGGGCCGCTAGATAGAGGCTCGATCGCGATAGACGGGGCGACGGGAGAGCGAACGGCGACGAAACTGCGAGTGTAGACGAGGAGAGCGAGAAGAACACATTCGCGATGGCGGGGAGCCGGAACAGCAGAGGCGCGAGGAGCAGCAAAAATGGCGGCAGGGCAAACATGAGGCGCAAGCCTGACATTTGTTGAGAAACGTCATAATATCGTAGCGATATTACACTGGCAGTCGAAGGATTTGTGGAGCGTCAAGTAGTGTTGCAAACGCGGCTACTAAGTCAGAGCAGACAGGCGAGGACACAACGTGATGTACGGCAATGAGAGAGCGACAGACTGCGATAGAGAAACGACGGCCTGCGATAGAGAACGATGGCCTGCGACAGAGAACGATGGACTGCGACAGAGAACGACAGAGTAAGATGAGAAAGCGACGGACGGCGACGAATCTGTGACTGTCTACGGTGAAAAAGCAACAGTAGAGAACGATAGCGATAAAAAACGATTCGCGATGACGGGGAGCCGCGATAGCAGGGGCGCGAGGAGCAGCGGCAATGGCGGGTAGGGCAAGCAGGCGAGTCCGCGCAAGACCTGGAAGGGCACGGGCGTGCAGGCGGGGACCGCTGCCGAGACACGGGCGGCCACCACCCTCGCTGCGTGCGCGCCTCCGCGAGAGTCTGCACAAATTGGTCTGCACGTTAGTGGGAGGGGGAGCGCAGAGAGCGCCAGCAGTGACGGGCAGCTGCGCAGAGGGGGAAGGGGATGCGGAGTGGCGATGCGAGGCGCAGGGAGGTGAGGGGGGAGGCGAGATACTAGCGCGAGTATGGGCTTGGCGGAAACGGGGCAAGGGGCGGGAGAAGGGGGATAAGGAGGCAAAGCAGGAGGGCTGGCGGAGGGGTGCGGAAGGGCGGGAGGGAGGGAAGTGGGGAGAGTACGTGCAAGGGGTGTGAGGAAGGGTTGATGGGGGCCCACGGGGGGGACTGTGAAGGGAGCGGGTAAAGGGGCGCAAGTGGGGGAATGAAGGGGACGGAAGCGGGAGGTGAGGGAGGCTGGGCGGGTGCGCATGAACCCAGCAAAGTCGGGGGCATGTTCTTGTCCATGGCGGTGGTTTGAGGAATGCGGGAGATGGGAGCTAGGCGATGGTGGGAGGCATGGAGGCACGGAATGGGTGGAGCATAAGAGGCGTACAGGAGGTGTGCTGGCGCAGTGGTGGGACAGGGAGAAAGGAGAGTGGGGTCAGAGAGGGGAGAAGTGAGTGAGGGTTCACAGAGGGTAGAGGGGAGGGAGGGGGCCAACAGGGAAGAGGGGAGGGTGGGATCAGGGAAGGGTGGGCTGGATGGAGGGATGGGAGGACGAGAGAAGGGTGACGGGAGAGGTGGAGGCGGAAAGCAGGGGAGAGGCGCAGGAAGATGGGCAGAGAATGGACGTGAGGCCGGTGGATGGGAGGCCGGGGGTTGGGAGGCAGATGAAAGGGAAACGAGAGGGTAGGCGAGGGCGAGAGAGGAGAAAACGGATGGGCGAAGGGGCAAGCAGGGGAGGAGATAGGAGGGGAGGAGAGGCGAGGGAGCGGAGGAGGAGGAAGGTGGGGAAAGAGAGGGCACGAAAGCAGTGTGGGGAAAAGGCAAACTCAGCCGAGCATTCACTTAGGCATGGAAGCATGCAGGTGGTGAGGCATTGAGGTGACCACGTGCTACCGAGCAGCACCAGCCCCCAACCACCGAACACCACTGAGATGACCACACGCGTCATACGCCGTGCACTTTGCTTGCATCTTGCCTTGCCATGGCACCCCATGAGCACAGCCCTGCCTCAATGCTTGCGAATGAGGAGCGGCAGGCGGTGAAGGAAATCTCCCTTTCCCCTCCGCCCTCCTTCCTTCACATCCGCCCACCTTCCTGGAGCAAAAAGGGGATGAAGGGGGGTTGGAAGAAGGGGGGTTGAGAGAGGGTGAAGGTGATGTGTTGGAGAGGCGATGTGTGATAGGCGACGTCACAATGAGTGGGGGGCTGTGAGCAGTGATGTGGGGTGGGGATGTGTGTGTAAGAGTCAATCCTCCCAAACACCCTGCAGTGCTCCCTTCCAACCCATGCCCAAATCCTTCCTTTCCACCCTCCCGTCGTCCCAGACCCCTCCCACTACACTCGGCTCCTGCTTGCTGTCCCCATGCCCTCTTGAACCTACTTGCACAACCGCTTGCCAAGCCACCATCTCACGAACATCTCGGAAACTTCCCTTACCCCCTCAATTTCCCCTTACGCATTCCTTTTTCATTGACACCTCCCCCACGTTTTGTATTGAAGGATTTGGGTCTTCCCCAGCATGAGCCGACCATTCTACACATTGACAACACATCGGCAATCGCCTTGAGCAAAAAACCGGTCTATCATGGACGCACGAAGCACATTGATACCTAGTATCACTACATTCGGGAGCTGATTAAGAACAAAGTTGTGGCACCGGCCTACTGCAGCACCACGAACCAGGCTGCTGACTTTTGACTAAGATACTCCCTCGGCATCTCTTTCTTCTTGGCCGCCACCGTGCTGGATTGCTGCCGATCGAGTCTCTTGAGTGCTTCTCCACTGCTGTCCCTTCCGCTCCTTCACCTCGCTCTAAGGGTCAGCAGTGCAGGGGGGTGTTGGAATGAACTGCTGTTGCAGCTCGCGTGGCACCAGGGTGGCAGGAACAAACTTTCACGTGGTGAAAGTTTTCGCCACAGTTTCCCCGTCAGCCAAAATTCGAATCTGCAAAAGGGCACCCAACATTACCCATTCGCCACTTCAACATCTTTACCTCCAGTTAGCAAGGCACTATTTCATTTTCACCCAATACAAATTCATCAATCCTCCACCTCATCTCTTCTCCAATCCTCCTCAACCTTGTCATCCGAAACTCCACCAATGAATCAAAAGATTCCATACCAAGCCTTAAATCAAGGTCACATTCATTCCAGCCACCAAGCCTTAAATTCAAGGCCACATTCATTCCACTCACCAAGCCTTAAACTCAATGCCACATTCATCCCACTCACCAAGCCTTCACTTCAAGGCCACATTCATCACCCCCACCTTATCCAACTCAACCAATCACAATCATTCATCTCGTCTTCAAGCTCCACCAAATACAAAAAGGGTCCACCTCATTCTTCACTCGTACTTTTCAAGGCTATTTCATACCCAAGCTCTCTACAAGTTTGACTACAAGCTCACTCAAGCTAACTTCAAGTCCTCCTCTTTATGCTCCAACTCCTAAGGCTCCACCATCATCACCAACCTCTCCCAACCCAAGTGTGATAATGAGAACGAGAATGGGTGAACTATGAAATGAAGTGAGTACAAATATGAAACCCTAATTGGTTGTACCCCCTATGGGATACCCCACTATAGCCTACATAACAGCATAAGCTACAATGTTCTGACACACCCCCATAGGCAAAGTGGGGGAGAACAAGGGGTCACAAGACCAGTCAAGCAAAGCAAAGCAAAGGAAAGCTCAGGGTGGATCACAAAGTCACCACACAGTCCGAGCACAGGGTCAAGGCCACACGGCCAGTTCACATGCAAGAGTACACACATATATATAAAGCTAGACAAGCAAGAGCAGGTATATATATATGTGAGAGTACAAGCAAGGTCAAGAGGAGAGCAAGTGAGGCAAGACGGGCACAAGACCCAGCTGAGTGCAGAAGCGCTGATGATCACAAGGCGGAAGTGCCTTGGTGAAGACATCAGCAGTGTTGGCCTCAGAGGCCACGTACGCAAGCCGCAACTGTCCACGTTGCTGTAGCTCACGAGCAAGGAAGTAGCGGAGAGCAATGTGCTTTGTTCTGTGCTCCAGTCGCTGCTCTCGACACAAGGCCAGCATGGCCTTGTTGTCTACGTACAGGACTGGAGGAGAACGAGGCGGCTCTCCAAGGTCGGTCAGCAGGTAGGTGAGCCAGCGAAGCTCCTGTGCAGCCATGGCCCCGGCGTAGATCTCAGCCTCACAACTCGAGCCAAGAACAGAAGACGAGCGAGTAGCCCGCCACGAAACAGAGCCGGAACCAAGGCTGAAGGTGTAACCCTGTGACGACCGCTGCGTAGCCTGGTCGTCAGCCCAAGAAGCGTCCGCGTGCCCAGTGAGGACCACTGGACTCCGCCCTCCAAGCACTAGCCCCATGCCCGACGTACTGCACAAGTAGCGCAACACCCTCTTCGCTGCAGCCATGTGCTCTGGTCTGTGTCTCCCAGGAGCAACATAGCGTGCAAGAATGCTAAGAGGGTATGCAAGGTCAGGTCGTGTGCAGGTCATCAGGTACATGAGGCAGCCAACAAGCTCTGGGTACGGGCCACTCGACTCTACGGACTCATCCGAAGGCAGAGCTGAGAGCGAGTGGCGAGTAGACAGAGGAGTGGCCTGAGGCGAGGAGTACGTGAAGCCGAAGCGCTGAAGGACCTGCTGCACCATGTGTGACTGAGTCAGGGTAATGGTGCGGCGTGCTCTGTCCCGGGTGATCTGCAAGCCAAGGTAGCTGCGCAATTCACCCAGGTCTGTGCACGTGTGTCTCTTCTGCAGCTCGGACTTCACGTAGGCGAGTCCAGCAGTGTCAGCTGTGGCAAAGACCAAGTCGTCGACGTACACGAGGATGTAGAACGGCGGCAGAGAGGTGTCGGTGCGTAGAAACAGCGACGGGTCGGCAGTAGAAGGAGCAAACCCAAGAGCCGCAAGCGTAGTCCTCAGTGTGTCGTGCCACTCACGTGGCGCCTGGCGGAGACCGTAGACTGGACGCCGGAGACTCCACTGGGTACCAGGAGGGAAAGACCCAGTGAAGCCAGGTGGGCGACGCAGCCAGATCTCCTCGTGCAGGCTGCCCTGCAAGAAAGCTGTGCTGAAGTCAAGAGAGTGCAGCTCGTAGTCACGGTGAGCAGCAACGTGCAGCAGTACCCGAAGAGTGGTCATCTTCGGGGTGGGGGAGAAGGTCTGAAAGTAGTCAACTCCCTGCCGCTGACTGAAGCCACGAGCCACGTAACGCGCCTTGAAGACAGGCGGAGAACCCGGCGGCCGCTTCACCCTGAAGATCCACATGCCACTGACGATGTTCGCCCCAGGAGGGGGGACAGCGTCAACGTAGGTGCCTGTGGACTTCCAGGAAGCCATCTCTGCATCCATAGCTGCCTGCCACTGAGAGGAGTAGGGACCCTCTATCGCCTCCGCGTAAGAGCGTGGAGTCGGGATGTCAAGTGCATCCGGGTCTCCCTCAGGGGTAAGCAGTACGGACACGAGATGAGGTGAGGCAGCTGCCAGACACTGGAACTCCTCTTGCCTGTCCTCAAGGACGTCCGTGCCAAGGGCACACTCACCCCCGACGGACGGAGGACAGACAGACTCAGACTCAGCGACAAGACTAGCAGCGTAGTCTAAGCGACAGCGAGCAGCAAAGTCGACGAGCTCAGTAACGAGAGCAGACGCAGCAGTAGACTCGAAAGAAGGGTCAGTGACAACAGGAGAGGACTGGCAGCACGAAGAGAGTCCGACTCCGGGTCGGCAAGAGCAGGAAGAGAGGACTCAGGAGGAGAAGGCAAAGGGGCACGCAGAGGAGCAGTGGACGGACGCAGAGACATCCGGTGCGTGCCAGGGACAGGAGGAGGACGCTGACGCGAACCGCGACCACTAGTGCGAGCAGCACGGACAGGCGACGCAGGGCGAGACGCAGGCTCACGACGCTCAGCCAGACCTCCAGTAGGACCAGTGTAGGGAGAAGGAGCAGGCAAAGGGGAGGTAGGCTGCAACTGTAGCTGGGACGAGACAGGCTGTGGACACTCTAAGGGAGGAGGAGGACCAGTAGAAGGTGGAAGACCAAGAACCTGCTGCAGGAGTGGAACGAAGTACGGTCGAGGCCGCGCGGCGACGCTAGAAGCAGCAGGGACAGCACCAGAACCCTCAGCAGGAGCACCCACTCCAGCAGCACCACCAGTAGCTCCAGAACCTCCAGCAGCACCAGGAGCACCCCCAGTAGGACTGCCAGCGGTAGTCTCAGCGCCAACACCCTCAGCAGCACCAGCTCCAGTGCACCCAGGACGAGCACCTCCGGGACCCGCGACCGCAGCACCCTCAGCAGCCGAAGGACCTCCAGCACCAGCAGCACGCCTCCAGCGCCGGGCAAACCACTCACGCAGCTCCTGTGGAGAAAGTGGCTCCCGGCGAGACGAAGCACTCGGAGAACCTCCAGGCGGAGCACCTCCAGGCTCAGCACCCCCAGGCGTAGCACCCCTAGGCTCAGCACCCCCAGACGTAGCACCCCTAGGCTCAGCACCCCCAGGCTCAGCACCCCTAGGCTCAGCACCCCCAGGCTCAGCACCCCTAGGCTCAGCACCCCCAGGCTCAGCACCCCTAGGCTCAGCACCCCCAGGCTCAGCACCCCTAGGCTCAGCACCCCTAGGCTCAGCACCCCCAGGTACAGCACCCCCAGCCTCAGCACCCTCAGCAGCACCAGAGTCACCAGTGACCTCGACAGGCTCGACTGCGTCTACCTGGGACACACCTGAAGGGGCAGGACCCTGAGGGGGGGGGTCTACCTGGGGGGGACCTGGTACCAAGAAGAGTGGGGGTGGGGGGAGGGACGGAGTGCGGTAGGGGAAGAGGCGGTAGTAGGGGACCGACTCGTCAAACGTGACGTCCTGGGAGGACAGAACACGGCGAGAGGTGGGGTGGTAAAACTGCCACCCAGGCGCGTCAGGGGGGAACCCCAGGAAGACGCAAGGAGCAGCACGAGGGGATAGTTTGTCCGCAGAC